CCCCAAAACCCCAAAACCCCAAAACCCCAAAACCCCAAAACCCCGATTTTGGAAAAAATGGTTGAACTTGTTAAGTGAGGGCTGGGATAGGAGGAAGGAGGGTACAAAAGTTTTGGCTTGAGTTATTAATATCGAATTAATTAAGGGTCGCATTAGACTCAGGAGAAGCTTAAGAGTAAGTATTTCTCTTCTTTGGTTGGAAAAGAGGGTTATGCTGGGATGGAGAAGGGTAATTCAGCAAAGACCCAGTTGGGGAGGATGCTAAATGTTTAGCAAGCCTCGCTTGGAGAAAAGTTGGTGTTGACATCTGAGGTGACTTTGTGGGACCCTTTTTGCTTTGGGGAGTTACAAGGAAAATTGAAGAGCTATCTAAAGAACATGGTCAGAGATTAGCTTATATGAAATAACGTTTTAGATAGTTTATATCAGATGAGATTAACCATCGTTTGAAAATCCAAATTTGAGTCGAATAGAAAAATAAAAAATGCAAAAATCAAACCAGTTTAAACTTTATGATAACTTACCTCTTGTGTCCTTATGTACAAAGGTTCCGTATGAGTTTTGTTCAATGTTCTTTTTATAGATAATTTGTTGGGCCGAAATAGAAATTTCCATATATTTCCTTTGAAGTGAAATTTTTTATACAAAATGAAAGCATCATATAAAAGAAAAATCTCTTACCTTTGGAGTTTCATTTCTCAATGCTAATTTTAAAAATCAATGGGTATCTTCTCTCTATTTCTTGCTAAAATATATGAGAAAAATCCAATTCTGATCAATAAGAAATAGTAAATTTCTATAACTCCTCAACCTCGAAATAAATGCATTATATCAGAAATTTCAAGGTAAACCCCAATTAAAAATTTCCCTATCTCACTAAAATCTATATTTCCCATACCCCACCAACCTCCCTTCTCTCCCCCTACTCCCATCTAACCTCCCTCTCCCAACCCAACCTACCCCTTCATCTCCACACCCCCCCAAAACTTTAAACCTTCAGTATTCCTAAACCCTTCCTATTCCCCTACACCCCTCCCCCCCAAAACACCTATGAACCTATCCAACCTACACAATCCCATAGCCCAAAACCCCATTTCCGAACCCTTCAGTATTCCTCTCCAGTCCCTTTCTCCAAAACACCTATGGCTTCTTACATTATTTCTTCTTGGATTTGGGGGTTTACTCTTTGTGCGTAGGTGAGAGAGTTTGGAAGGTGAGTAAGTTGAGAGGGAGAGGAGGAGAGGGGAATAGGGGAGTTAGGAAATGGATAGGAAGTGGGGGTGGAAGTAGACCGGGGGTTATAGGGTATTGATTTGAGTATTTATGAATGGGAATGTTGGATTGGAGTGAGAGGGAAGAGAAATTTGCGTTTGGAGGTGATTAAAATGTACACGTCATTTAAAATAGTAAGATTTGTTTGGAGTTTTTAATATTTATTCACTGGCATTTGCACAGAGCTTTGGCTAAAGTATGCATTTAAAGAGTTTTCTTAAGAGCAGAAATATTTCTTTTTTAGATCATTCTCATGATTGTTACTCAATTAAAAGCTTACATTGCGATGCTAAATCATTAGAGAATTCATCATAAGTTCTTAGTCTCCACTTTAAAGTTTGAATAGCAGATTTATGGGTCAGTTTTAGAAGGTTTTCAAATTTTCTATCAAGCCTTGGTCCTTTTCTACCAAACAGAGGTGTCCTCTCTTTACGGTTACTGTGCTCCAGCTTTGGAGTCAAATCTCTTTTCTTACTCAAAGTAGGCATTCTCGTATTGGAGAAGTGAGTTTTCTTTCACCTCACTTTATTATCTAAATCTTAGTTATAAACACCCTCAAGAGAACATTAATATTGTGTTAAGTCAGGCTTCAGAAATTACATATGAAATTGCCAACCGGATGCTTACACAATCATTTTGTGAAGAATCTCTTCTTCCTACGTGTATTTAATCAAGGGAGTGCTTGTACTCTATTGACAGTAGCCATTATATTCTTTATTGCTTTATGAAATCTATATAGAATTTTATAAATGGGGTTTTGGGGTTTTGGGGTTTTGGGGTTTTGGGGTTTTGGGG